CCCCCCCCCCCCCCCCCCCCCCACACACACCCTTATGAAATCTGACTCCTGTTTATCAGGGTCCCGCGCGCCCTTTGCACTTTTACGTTTCACTTAATTATTTCAGACTTGATCGTGGCGTGGAACAAGGGGGACAAAAAAAAAACAAACACCCAGCCTTCACCAGCTCCCCTCGAAGGGTTAAATTTTAAACGGCGGTTTCTCGGACGGGCCCGGAAACCTAGAGTGGGGGTGGGGTGGAGTGGAGTGGGGGGCTGCATCTCCCCTTCGGGGTCGCGGATGCTAATGACTATTCAGTTTTCTAGACCGATCCTTCTAAAGCTTATGCAAAAAAGAAAAAGGAAGGAAAGAGAAAGAAAAGAAAAAAGAACCAACAACTCTGTTTCTAAGATTTTAAAGCGATAGACCAGATGGAGAAGACGAGATTGACTTGGGGGAAAGCAAGAGTGCGTGAAGCCGACCCAGCGTTTGGAAGACCAGCCCGCCCGCTTGGATGTTGGACTGTTGATTCCTCCAATTAATGACATGCATTTGGTGTTAATCATATTTATCTTATTTTAAGGGACGGGGTGGGGTGGGGGACGCTAGGACGGTGCATTAAAAAAAAAAAAAAATTCTGAAAAGCCTGCAAAACGATCGAAGAGTGAAAAACTATTGTTGGACCGACTTGGTTTTTACCTCAACAGCGCCACCTTTCGGCAAAGGTCAGTTGAAATTGATCCGTGTCCAGTTTTGTTGATGAAATGAAAAGAAGCTGGTTTCCCTAGGTGGGAGGAGAAAAGAGGCACAGAAAGTTAGTTTGACTGCAGTGGGAGAACCCGACTGTGTTAGGAAAGGGGCTGAAGGCAGTGCTGGCAGGTGCGAGAATCATTTTTCCCTACCATCCCCCTTGACTGTGAATACAGAGGCCAGGGGACCCAGGAGCCTTCCAAGTGTAACTATGGCTGAGAGGCTTATGCAAGAGGATCCCATGTAACAAACAGGGCCCCAAACCCTTTAAAAGTGCCAGGATGGATTTTCAACGGGCTTTATGGCAATATCAGTAGAATTAAAGTTACTTGTAATTCAGTGATAAATGAGATGTCTCTAGTAAGTAAGATTAAGTGCAGTGCTATAAAGTTGTTTATCTGGAAAGTAATTCTCAGAAAACCTGACTTCTGACACTTAGTCATATATTAAGCCAGCTTCTTGAACATTGCACTTCAGAATGCTCTCACCCACCGGACAGCATACTTTACTATTTATAACGAGACCTTAGGTGTCACTCATTGGCTTCATACACCAGATTAGACTTGTGTTAATTTCTCTCATGCTGGCAGCCTTGGGTTTCAGCAAACCCTGGCAGCCCTAACGAGAGATTCACCAAAACGTTTGTGGGCACATCGTTACCCTAAAAGGACAGCACTGTTGCTGTTTTCTAGAAAAGCACTTTTTCTTTTCATCATCACTGCAGAGAAGCTGTTTATATGGGTAGTTTTGGTTTTATGGGAGTACTTTGTCGGGATGGAATGAGGTATGTCTATTACCAGTTTGGGGAAGAAAGAGTGAAGATTATGTCAATATTTATGCAACCTAACAGAATTCCTTTGCTTTCCTCCTCTCAAACAGTATTTCACCTAGTAATGAAGTTAAGGGATTACAGCTTATGTATTCAGAGGAAAATTTACTGCTTAAATTACATAAACATATTGTGTCATTAGCATCGTCTATAGCAATACTTTTCTAAGCCTTTTTAAAATCACTAGCCACAAATGTCTGAAGTTTCTATTTTGCATGTAAAATATGAATTTCAGCATATGCTTAGGAAGAATTAATTCATTTTTTACGAGAATTTTTTTCTTTAATCCTTTTGCATCGCAGTTTTGGTAAAAGCTGTGAGATACGGTCCCTGCCTCTCATGAAAGTATTTTTGGTCAGGAACACTGAAACTGCTACACTTGTAAATAAACAACATTTATAAACAAAGTTCACCAGTGAGGAAGACCATGAGATACAGATTCATGGCCATGCACCTAATTGTTGCAATTATGTGTCATTTCTAGATGTTAAATACCCATGTTTGGTCAGATAAATGTATTATTATCTGCACATTTTTATGGTTTATTTTTGTACACTGCTGTCAAACCAGGCAGGGTATTTATTTATTTTTTCTCTCATTGCAGAATCTTTTATAGTCTCCCATTTTCTCTTGGGAAAAAAAAAAAAAAAAGGAGGATCTGAATTATATTTTAGACGTGGGGCAGCGGTGCCCTCAAGCTTATAACTTAATTCTCATTTTTGTCCTTTTTCCTTTATTATTTGGTGATTCACAGGGGTGTCTAAACATTTACAGTCTTCTGTTAGTGGCGTTTCTCTTGTAACAATTGAGCTCTCTCATTTTAATTAGTACTATTCAGGTTTTTGAGTCTCTACAATTATAGCAGAGGCCACATTTCTTTAGATTTCTTTGCTAACATTGTTTGTTTCACTTCGCTCCAAGCCAATCTAATCCAAATACAATATGAACTGTGTCTTCTTACTGCTTAATACTCCCTTGCTGTATATACTCTAGTAATCTCTGTAGAACAATACAGAGTAATTTAGAAACCATGCGTTTGTCATTATTGACCAGTTCAAACCAGTAGCATTCAGGTTGCTGAAAGCAGTGAATCTTTATAGAAGAATTTGCGAGAGGGAGGAGGGCATGGGTCGGATCACGTAGGAGATTGTGAAACCGTAACATCAAAAACACAGTTTTGGTTTCATGTCAGTACATACATAATAACTTTTTGCAAAAAAAACTATTTTAAACCCTGTTTACGTCCAAATTATAATGATTAAAAGTGAAAGATAATATAGTTTTCCTGATTGTGAGTTACAGCAACTCAGGTATATCATGTTGGAATCAGACATATATAATCTAAAAAGAACAAGATGCATCAAGGGTAGTGTCTGAACCCTTTTTATCCAGGAGCTGATTTTATGGTGCAGAACTAACCAGTGTCCACTGAATTTCACTCTGAAACCAACTAAATCGATTTGAGAAAAGAGTTGTTCAGAGGAACTGAATGATAAGGCATGGAGTGTTGTTCCTAGCTGTAGTGTTAGAGAAAAATCCTTTCAGCAGTCTTTAGTGAGCAGGGCAAGTAAGTCAGAAATCACTGTTAGCAGATTCATGGACGAAAATTAATCGAATCAGACGAGATAATCTGATAAGGGTAAAATTGCTGAGGAAACAGTCTTGCCTCATATTGGAGAATGTGAGACAACAGTCTGATTACTAGGAGTCGTTATGAATAGGTGAATTATGTGCTAAATAATCATCAGAGTAAATCAGCGTTTATTAATTCTTTTCTCTTTAAGCAATTCACAGTTGTAAGTTAAAGCCGCTCTCTCTTTAAAGACACATCTTCTATAATTTTTATTAGAGGTAATTTATTATTTGCATTACCTGTATTTACTTCATAATTGAACATTTTACATTCAAATTTATGTAATGCATTATGCC